CTCCACGTCTGCAAGTCATGGAGCATGCTGAGCGCATGCGACTTGTTGGCTGGAAGGTCAATGAAGAAGCCCGAACCTGCATGCACAGGATGCCAGTATCGCGAAAACACGGGCCCAGGTGGATCGGAACCGATTTCAAGCACCGAACGTCTACAAAGCCTCAACGGCCTCTGGATCCTGAAAGTTTTGCACTTGTAAATGGTACGCCGAACCGCCGAACCATTGCGCGAAGACGACTAGACCGTGTGAATGCACGGCGCGATTTCTCCACGTGTTGCGCAGGGCAAGCGGCACATTTCCATGCGTGCAGGGCTGTACTGCACGGACAGCTCCCAAGAAGGGCTTTAGAATCACGTCACCACGTAGCGGTGCATGGATCCCATCCTAAGCTCGGAAGGCTGCCTTTGGGAGAGATCCCCGACCGTTCATAGGACATATTGCCTTCAGGTGAACGAACCTCTTCGGAGGAGCTGGTGCACCTTCCTGGCGATCAATTGGCCGGCATCTCTCGAAAGCAGGCACCGCTCCAGGGCTTGCAACGCGCATAGGAAAGAAAAAGGCAATACCACGTGGAAGAAATGGCCCTCCGTGAGTGGGCAGTGGGCGTGATAGCCAACTATTCACCTCCATGCGCATCTTCCGTCATATTGTTTCTGCACAGCAGCTCATCATGAAAGGGTTGCCACGCGCATGAAGGAGGCATGGGAGACACTGAAAAAATCATAAAGGGAGAACATGGGAATTCTTGGGAACCTGCAAAGAAAAAGCAAGCCCCAACTGCACGAAAATGCATCCGATGCGCGCTCATTAAAGCACATGAACGATCATGAACGTTAACGTGGTCCATCACGCCCTTCACGCTCATGCAAGCATACCCTATAAGCTGTATGACACCCATCAGCCTCCGTCCATGGTCCATGGAAGTACAGACCCGAGCTGGCAAATCACCTCAAGGGGGGTCCTTTTGCACTCACAAAGGAGATGGCTAAACGGCCCAATGCACGCTCAGGAGAGGAGACCACGCAATCCACTGGCCGTGACACCCGCCGGCTCGAAATGCGCGAGATCACAGGCCGAACCGCGCGACTCACGATCGGAGACAAGACCATGCACGTGGAGACCCAAACTCTGCTCTCGTGACGCCCATCCGGCATTTTGTGTTCATCGGCGGGCATGCTGTGTTACCCAGCCGTCCTTCTCAGTGGGACGGCCCAAACTGCCTGAAGCGCATCCGGCCCTGCGGTCAAACACCTTGAGGGGGTGGGCGCAGGCGTCCTCCCGCTGCAGAACTTCACTTAGAAGCTTCAGCAACTGCTGGACACCTGCGTTTCCTGTTGGCCTCGATCTGGACTGTGACCAGCTGTCGAGCTCCTATTCGTGCATTCGCCTCGAAAACCTGCCGGAACCTCCACAAGGCCAAACACCAAACCAAGACAGAGGTGGGGATGACACCTCATCCCGGTTAACAGGATGAAAGAAGCACGCACACGCATGCAAACGCTAGCGAGTGCTCGCGGACGGGGGAAGCGGCAACGTCTCGTCACTTTACTCATGTCTACGAAGTCAGCTGGCTGTGTCATCTTCAGCACATGTCATCTGATGCTTGCTGCGCCTGAGTAGGTGGCCGCCTGTCCTCGGATTGCTATTTGCTGCGTCTCCTCCACTGGCCGCCATTGGTAGGCCTAGCCAGAAGTTGTCCCCAACATGCTACAGCATGCAGTACAGCATGTAGCAGCAACTAACCCCCCTCAACACCTTGCGCTCAGCATCGCTCAGCAACGCCTTGATGAGGTACGTCGGGGCAAAACGTGGATCATAGGCGGCCTCGCAGTCCCACTGCACATCACTGCACTACCAGGCTCCATTCTGGCCTTCTATGGCCTTGTGATGCGTGGAATCGGGTATCCTTTTTGCTGCCATCTCATAACGGCAGTGCTTTCGTGCAGGGCAAGGCGCTTGACTTTCCCGCGTCTCATCGTAGGTGGAGTAGCAGTCCTTTGGTACCGAAGACGGTCCATGTCTGTGCGGAAGCTGGCGAACCTGGAGAAACCTCGTGGAGCCTTTCAACCGATTCGAAGCCACAAAAACCAACGAATGCAGCTCAAAATCGGGGTAAACATGCTTCACCAGAGCAGTCACGCTGCATCCCGTATTGGGCTGGACTCGCCTGACTGGCAGCGATGGACAATGACGGCTTGAATGCAACTGCGCTGTGGAGAAAACTCATCTTGGAAGCGGACAGCTGTCGCATGCGCAAGGCACCGAGAAGAACTGTGCTACGTGTATCACTCAAGTAGCGAGGGCTCCTGCAACAGGCATGTCTATTTTTTCTGATGACTCTAGCAAGGCAAGACGATGTCCAATGGACGTACAGCTTCGATGACCAACTGTCACAGCGATGAAACATTCTCCGACTACAAGATCTCCATCAGTCACACAACATAACACAGCTCCGTTCAGCAGCTCCCGGCGCTCATGTCTTCAATGTACTTGGAACTAAAAAGACTCCAAGAGAAGGGGACATCAAACAGCGGCGGCTCCATTTGAGCGGAAAGTTGCTGTTCCTTACCATTGCGCATGGCATGCCACCACAAACATGAAACGAATACTTGGAGGCATAGTTGCAAAACCTGTTGCAAGGTTGTGGAAGACATTGCCACGTAACGTCAAAATCGTCAAAACATGTCAAAACCCAAAGCCTGCAGCCTGGGCTCACCTACAAAGCTGCCAAACATATGCATACATATGCCAGCAAGCCGCGGAAATACTGTGTCTATCTGCGCCACGATGGGTGCACCAACGTCGTCAGTGTATGCCAGAGGCAGCAGCTCATCCCTCAGGTCCGCTGCAATATGCTGCATGCGGCAATATGCTGCAATGCACCGCAATACCATTGCAAACACACCTCCAAGCCCTCCAGAGCCTGTGAATCCTGAGGGTGACCACCCCTTAGCTTTTCCTTCCGCCTTTTGACCCTGAAGCAAGTTCACGTACGTTCAGGGGCAAAGGAGCTGCATCCAAGACCAGAAGCTCTGGATGTTCTCCACCTGCACAGCTGCAGACACGCTGCAGAATGCTGGGAGACGAACAGAATCTGCCAAAACTTGCCCAGTGCAGCCCAGCCCTGATTAAAAACGCGCCGCTTCCTTTTTACGCATGTGGGCTTCGGTATCGCAAGGGTGCAGGCACGTTTTGCAGAGTTGGGTGCAGGCTTCACAACAACTACGCAAAAAGACTATAGCTGCTGTGACTAATCGAATACCTCTGTGCCGGCCTTCTGGATTCTGCAATTTCCGTCTGTGTCGCAACCCCTCCAGTAATCAAGTTGCTCGATCCGGCTCTCGAAGACATCCTTCGAACACGTGACACGTCATGATCAAGCCATGACAAGGGCGTCCCTGCAACATCGATCAACCAAGTGCGTGGGAAGCGGGGGCACTCCTTGAGGCCTTAGAGCTCACAATGATAACTACTCCACTTCTATGCAGTACTGCTGGCAGGTGCAATGTGAAGGCACTTGGCAATTCCAGTGTCCTGCGACTGCAAGTTGTACGCATACAAGGTGACCGAAGCCCTCGGTATAAACTGACTGCTGACGAGAAACTCAAGCGATGACCCTGACGGACTGATGCGAACCAAGGCTGGCTGCCGTCCAAGATGCAACAATACCAAATAAAAGAGCGTCTCGAAAAACATTACCTTCAAGTTCCTCAAGGACTCGCTGCAGGAGCCAGAAAGACTAGAGGGCTGTCCCAGAACAACCTATGTAGTCTTCACGCAGGCCGTCCTGTACTCCACGGAACTTGTGTGGTATATTCGATTCGCATCGATGTCTTCGAAGAATTTCCAGAACATAACGTCCCCAACAAAGCGATCTTTGTCAGGAGTCTCCTCAAAAATGTCCTCATGAAGGGTAAGCAGCAACCGTACTGCCATTCGAGACTTGGAAAAAAACCCATCATCGGACAGACAGCATTGGACTGCTCCTTGAGGAGAACCATAGGACTGTCCTCAGACATGTCAGCCATATCACGCTTGTGGAGCTGGCTGCAGGCTGAACTCATTGATGTATTCCTGATGTTTTACATCTACCACCGAAACTGCGTCGCCGACAGGCGACATGACAAAGCATTTGGGCCTTTGTTTGGAACACGCGAAGCCTGGTCTTTGGGAGTGGCAAGGAATGGCGAGGTCGGAACACGCCGGCTGCACAGTGAGTGAACCCTGTATGCTGTAACTGGGGTACGGTGCAAGGCAACAACATCTTTGGGCAGGCATCTCAGCTCGTTACAACTGATTCCACTCATCAAAGCTCTTCCGTCATGGCAATCACGAGCAAAGCACATTCAAATACTAGAGGGATACGTCGCACCAAAACAAATATCCATGCTGTTCATTATGTAGAACTGCAGTGCAATAGGCAAAACCAACGCCTGCAAGTGCAAGATGCCACGAGGTAAGCGCCGCACCTTTCTGCTTTGCTGTCTGTGATGCAATCGCTTGATCACGATGTCTCGGTTGAGAAACCTTAGTCACTGATGGTTATGTTTTCAGTTGGCGTTTGCCACAACACTACCTGCAACCATGAGACAAAGGTCTTGAATTCTTCTTCTTCTTGCCTGAACAGCTTCTCTGTACACTGCTCTGCACATTGCTCTGCGACTGCGAGTTGGTTATGGGTCGGATCTGTTAGCCGCAGGCCTTCACCGCCTGCGCCATCTGGGCTGTCCATGGCAAGAAAGCCACTACAAATGTCTACAATTCACAAAACCTTGGAAACACATTTTCCTTGGCTACTCCTGTTGCATCCGTTCGTACATCTGGCATGGACGCATGATCCAACCTCGTGCGCACATGCCAACATGTCAACTCGCATGTTCGAGAACGCTTCCTGTCTACATCTCGTCTCATGCGCTCTGAGCTGGAAAGCTGCTCCCGACATGCTGGCAACAGAAGCTGGTCACTCTGAAGCCATTACATTCTGCCTGCCAAAACCCGTCCTGTAATGCTTGAAGACGTTGCTCTTGCGCCTGACAAGCTGAAAGCAAGCATTGCCATTGCGGGCTCAAGCCCAGGGGGAAAAGGAGTTCAAGACCATCTCAGAAAAAGCTATGAGCCGGACATGTTGTTCCTTGGAGAGGGCGTTCGTGCCATCAGCCACTGCAGCCAAACGATTCTTGTTGTGCTCCTGCTGTTGCTCCAAAGCAACTAGCCGAGCATCGACATCTGCTGGCATCTTCGCAATGCCACCCGACTGTGAATTTTGTAGATCTAGAAGCTGGCGATGGAGATACGCAACAGCCGAAGCCATTCGTTCTTCCAGGGATTCCAGCTGCCGCTTCGCATCCCACATTGATTGCATGTCACGGTCTAAACTTGCAATTGGCGATTGCAAAGTTCTCCGGTCCAACTTCTCTGCCATGCCACCAAAGTTGTGAATCCTGTCCACAACACTGTCAATCTGCTCAACGACCTACATTCAATCTACTGCACGTCTGCAATTGCACCCACGTCAACATCACATGGCCCAAAGTCCTGCAGCCAGCGTTCGATACAAAACACGCAGCATCCGCATTGTCTGATGTTCCAGATCCATGTGCCCAATGTCGGTTGATTCCGTGCATGGCAATGAACGTGCTACAAAGCACACCGAATCTTTACAAAGCTCCTTCAAGTTCTGGCGCCATCAACGCACACTAAACATTGCACTCTTCTCCATCAGCACAGACTGAGCAACCATAGTATCCATGAGAAGATGCGCAAGGTGCCAACGTTGACATGTCAAGCACACGAAACACCCCAGGTTAACTTGACACGAGCCAACAGTTCAACATCTGGAACAAGCAACGGCAAATGCATAAACACCTATTCATCCATGTTCATGGTGCATGACGGCAATACAGCGGAAGGAGGGAACACCTCCAACAAAACATTGATGTTTCACGTGGCAATCATCACAGTCACTATTACGATGATGATGATGATGATGATGATGATGACGGTGATGATGATGATGATGATGATGATGATCATGATAACTAGTAAACTGTTACCATAAGCTCCCCCTTTCTAATCTCGCTATAAACAAACTTCAGCTTTAGCCAACACATGATACTGAACGCATCCCTCAAAATTTTTCCTGGAAACACGACAAAACACATAAACCAGAGCAAAACCATCCCAACCACCACGACACCACCGATTGCGACATGCCCTAGATGCGTCTTTTCCTCCAGCCCGGCTCCCCAGGCCTGCTTGAATGAAAACATGCTGTGTTGGCATGTCGTGAATAGAACATCTCTGGCATTCAGGAACCCAAGCTTGACCACCGATCTGGGTAGAAAATTTGGTTCGCGGTTCACTGACATATGTTGATTAACACTGCTCACGCCAATTACATGGGCCTAAATCTAAGAACCAAGGTTCACACCAACACTTTCCGGAAAGGTTGCCGCCAGATCGAAGCGGAGATCTTGTGGGCTTGGAAAGCAAACATCTGCATGGTCACACCAGCCCACAGTGCTCCTGATTGACTGCGCGGGCGAGGCATACTTGTGGATGTGCGTCGAACAAGCAAGATTCTCACGCTGCATGGAGCGTGCTTTGATATATAAGTAAGGGGCCACTCATGGTAACTTATTCCAAAAGCCACTAAAATGTCCCTACAGCCTCTTTTGCAGCAGACGTCACTACAACGTCACTACGACGTCACTACAACGTCACTACAACGTCACTACGACGTCACTACAACGTCGCTACAACGTCATTATAACGTCACTACAACGTCACTACAACGTCACTACAACGTCACTACAACGTCACTACACAACGTCACTACAGCCCTTTTAGCAGTACCGCGTTGTGACCGCGTTGTGACCGCGTTGTGACCGCGTTGTGACCGCGTTGTGACCGCGTTGTGACCGCGTTGTGACCGCGTTGTGACCGCGTTGTGACCGCGTTGTGACCGCGTTGTGACCGCGTTGTGACCGCGTTGTGACCGCGTTGTGACCGCGTTGTGACCGCGTTGTGACCGCGTTGTGACCGCAATGTTGTCAAAATGGAGCGATAAAGAATTTCGTTTGTTGCAATAATGAGTCAAATATAAGCCAACAATGACTCATTAATGACTCAATAATGTCGCAATAATGACTTAATTATATTGCAATCTTTGCTCGAAACAGAAGTTGCAGCAGTAGCAGTAACAGCAGCAGCAGCAGTAGAAGTAGGGGCAAACTTCGAGAAGAGACTCCAAAAAGACTGCAGTCTTCACTGCAGCAAAGTGATGCTTCTGCATCATACTGCAGTTTGCAGCGCTTTGACGACTTTTCTTCGCGGTGCTGCTGTAACGGTCACTACGCGGTCACTACGCCCAAACTCTTCAAAGGCTCCGCGCCACGCCAGCCTAGCCGAGCAGGTAAAAGCCTCTCCCATAGAAAACATGGCAGAGGCTAGGGCGAATATCATCAAGCAGGTATGGGAAAATCCGAGAACCGGCTTCAACTCAAGCATCGCCCGCTGGTGGCAGCGTGAACCCATAGCAATCTGCCCTGCAAGCGGGGCGGCGGCAAAACCCCCAAGCTGAAAAGTCATCGAAACCAAGCGTTTGGCTTAGATTTGCCGCGATCTAGTTCTGCTTCTTTGTCTTCCTTCACCCCAGGCCTTGTCCTGCAAAGTCAAGCTGAGACGCGGCACAGGGAGGCTACGGAGAAGAGTGAGATTGACGCGAAAAGCTCTCCTTCAGGCTGTTTACCCTTTTTCTTGGATGCTGCGATGGACAGTTCCGCAAACAAGGACACTCTAAACTTCAATCTTTTTCATCGCCATCTGCAAACAACTCCAAAGACAGGACGAGCTAAATCCACGCGCAAGATCCAAGCGCAGGGCCTTCTTCAAGTCACGCGTGGGCCGAAAGACTTACATCCTCAACATCAAAGATGGAAGGAGGAACGGGAACACGGTCCCGGTCTGTACCTAGGTGCGCCTCAAGACGCAAGGAAGATTTCACAGCAATCCGAATTACAGCCTGCTCATTTTGAGTAGCATGTTCAAAAGCTCGGTGCCAGGAGGCACGGGCCGACCCATGATGCCGCCTTTGGCACAGCGACTTAGCAGCATCGTCAGCCTGTTGGTTGAGTTGTCGACACATCGCCGAAGACACAGGGCAGCATGACGGAGGAGACCAGGAGGCCTGCTTCCCATGGCTGGGGACCCAGATGAGGGACCACTCAGTCCCTCGAAGTCTTGCAAGCTTGCCATTGGCCTGGCAAAAGGCGCAGTCCACACGAATGAGGGCGACACATCGCAGCTTGACAATCAACGAGCACCCAAAGTTTGCGAGGAGGCGAATGAACTTCAACCAGGGCTGCGAAGAGTTTATCCAGTGCTCGGAGTTCCATTCTGAAAGGAGACTGATCTTCAGACGAGTCAGCTCCTGCAAATTGTCCCGCAGGTGAGTCGCAGGCAATCGCATAGCTGCCGACGCCGTCCTGGCTGGAGCCGTCGGTGGCGAAAAGCAGCTCGTGATGTCCAAGAGTAACAGCCTTCACGAAAAACTGGACCAGCTGTAAAAGTTTCTAAACAGCACAAACCCAACTTACACACAGCTTCGCACTTGCACAGCACTTTCTCGGTCACACAAAGCGACGTGCAGTTATCCTGCCTCCTTACTGCTTTCTCAGCTCTCTTGACCTTGAGCCAAGAGTCAAAAGTAAAACTGGAAAAACCCAGTTGACGCCACCTACGCAAGCTCACTTCTCCTACAAAACAAAATCTCAAGGAAAGACATGCTCGACTGTTCAGGGAAGACCTGTACGTCCCGGACATACAGTAAGCACGTCAAACATGCGCCTTGGCCAAAAAGGCATCCCGCAGACGTGTCTATACACAGATTTCCACACCCCCTTTCGGGATGATCTTTTTGTCTCACCTCACTCTCAGATGACGACATCTTCAGATGATCACTCCAATCTCAGAGGTCTGTTCCCTGTCACACATGTCGAACACGGAGTGATGCATGTTGGGTTGGAGGTAACGGCCGCCACATGCTTGCAGTACACACTGTGATATTTGTCCCCGGACGGGAACACACACAGTTCTGTGTTGCCCGGCTCTGGCTTACAGTTCCCACACTGCCACATAGTTCGCCATGATCCCTCCATGCGATGACATGTCTGATCGTGATGAAAGATGCCCTGAGACTCTGAAGCAAAGATGCGCTTGTCCACTCTATCCTTGCAGCTGGAACTTGCATGCTTCTCCCTTGCACCAGCTGCCTTCGGCCTCGCTCTCAACGACGATGCCTCCTTTTTACCATCTGGCTCACGAGGGTTCATCTGTTGACTTCTCTCAGGCATAGAGTTGTTTTGGGCACCTTGTGGCTTCATCGTGTCATCATCCAGAGGCGGGTTCTGTGTAGCAGCTCTTTGCTGCCCATAGCTCATCCGGAAAAACAATGCCCACGCACAACAGCATGTCATGATCAGCGTACCAACCAAGATGCCGTTGACAAAGCACCCGATGATGATGATCCATACTGGATCCCAAGTCGGACTAGCAAACATCTGTACAAGCTCGCTGCCCATGAAGGTGGTTCCCCAAAGCTCTACTGGCCTCGCAGTCTCCACTCCAGAGCTCATCAACGCAAGAATGGCCACTGAAATCGCCACTCTCATCAAAGGCTGTGCAACCATGACGCCCGAGGGAAAACTAGAAAACTTGCGTTACAAAGAATCGCAAGTGCTGTGCAAACGCACTGTGCAAAACGCACTCTGACTATACTCCTCACATGACTTGATCATGTGTGGCGTAAGATGAAACCAAATCGGATCCCCCTTTCAGTTTGTTGCTTTCAGGGCTTTGACCAACCCTTCTGCCAGCACCTTGCTATACCTCCCTGTTGCTGTGTAGTCAATGTCATGGAACGAGGCATGTGTCTGGCAACTGCAGCTTCCAAACATGTCGAAAAGCTTCTGGGCGCACTCGAGATGTGAACACATGAACCTGAGACGTTTTGACACTGGAAGACCGCTTCGACTCAACACGCCGGTGGCGCACAGCCACACATCTACGGGATACACAAGACCTGGGCTCGAAGGACATTCTGTGTTCCCCATCTCTTCCAAATCATGTTTTGCTTTGGCAATTCGAACGTACGTCCATCTCCAAGCCTCAGATACCTCTCTGCAGATCGCATCAACGCCTCCCACTCAAGATCAGATTTTGTACATCTTTGCACAAAGTTCCGCAGTGGCGATCCTGAAGAGCAAGGCGTGGACACGTGAACGTGGATCCAAAGCCCTCTGCTCTTCCAAGCAGTGATGACCTTGATGGTTTCTGCCAACACTCTTGAGGTCTCGGCATTGGCTGTGATCCCGCAATACGGCACCCCAAGTGATTCACACACCTGACACAGGGCCGAATCCT